TTTTTTTTTGATGTAAAAGTGTGATCGGGGTTGATCCCCTGATATGAATAAAATGACAAGGTTGTGGAATGTTGTTGGTGTTATTTTGTGGTGTTGTTTTGTTTAATAAGAAAAATAAAATAAAAGAAAATAATGGATAAAGAAAAATGTGCTACCTCCAAGAGGATGTAATAAATTAAGAGAAAGGAGAGATATGATTAAAGTGGGTTTGAAAGTGGGAAAAGATGAGAGAGAGGGATGTCGTGCATGTGTGTGTATGGGGCAGTGTGTTGAGTGTGTGCCCATGTGCATAGTTCAAACTAGTGGGAGCCTTCCCAGTGGATGTTATTCGTATAGATCTATTTTGTTAAATTCTAAATGCTAACCCTAGTCGGTTGAGCATCAAATGGCGACCGAAGAAGCAGTGGTTGTGGCGGTGGAGTCTGTTCCTGATCTGCCGCTGGTGGTGGCGGCGGATGAGGCGGCGGAGGTGGAGCAACCGGCGGCGAAGTCGAAGAAGGCGAAGGAGCCCAAAACAAGGAAGCCTAGGAGCCCTCCATCTCATCCCCCATATGTTGAGGTAGTAAAAAATGATCAATTGTTCAATTTCATTCATTCAATTCGTTTTTTGAGTTTATGATTTGGAAATTTGGATCTGAGATTGTGATGTTTTGATTGCTCTGTAGATGGTTACCGAGGCAATTGTGACATTGAAGGAGAAAAATGGATCGAGTCAGTACGCGATCACGAAGTTTGCAGAGGAAAAGCATAAGAATCTTCCGGCGAACTTCAAGAAATTGTTGTTGTTCCATTTGAAGAAGCTAGTTGTATCTGGTAAACTTGTGAAGGTGAAAGGCTCGTTCAAGCTTCCTGCAACTCGGCCTTCTGTGCCGAAGCCTGTTGCTAGTGCTCCAGCGAAGAAGAAGCCGGCTCCTGCGAAGCCGAAGACTGTGAAAGTGACGTGGCTTTTGTTGGAATTGTACTGAAGAAGCTCATCGTCCTGTGGACTGTGGCACTGTGTCAAAGTGGATTTTGAAGAACAGCGCAGAATCTGAAAACATGAATTGGATACTAGCTAATTCCAAGCCTTGTCCGAAGTGCAAGCGACCAATTAAAAAAAAACCAAGGCTGTATGCACATGACGTGCACACCCCCTTGCAAATTTGAATTCTGCTGGCTATGCCTTGGTGCGTGGTCTGATCATGGTGAGCGGACAGGCGGTTTCTATGCATGTAATCGATACGAGGCAGCTAAGCAAGAGGGAGCATATGATGAATCCGAGAGGAAGAGAAGAGAGAGAGCTAGTGTATGCATGTATCTGTGTGTGATCAGGGAGAGAGAGAAAAATCGGAAGTGTGTATTGAGTGATGGCAACAGTGAGGTGCCGAGAGGGAGAGTGAGGTTTGAATTGGTTGAGATCCGGCGGGCGGTCAAGGCAAGGTTGCCGCCCGCCGGAAGGCGAAGAACACCAAGATCTTTAACCTATAGCTCTGATACCATGTAAGATAAATTGATAGAGAGAGATACAGAGAGAATGAATTATGTATATTGATTTATGTATTGAATGTATTTTGTACAATGGTTCAGGAGCTCCTTATAAAGGAGAAGTTTACAAACAATGCACCCAAAAGCAACCAAAAGCAAAGACATTATGATCAGCTAGGACACACTTTACAGCTAATAACAACATAGAATACACTAACAATATAATGCACTAACATCGGGCATTACATCATCACTGGCCTCTTAAACAATTGGACATTAGCAATGCCTTCTTACATGACAAACTTAAGGAAGAGGTGTACATGGACCAACCCCTAGTTTTATTGATCCCCAAAATGCTTCTTTGGTTTGTAAGCTCCACAAGGCTCTCTATGGTTTAAAATAGGCTCCTCGTGCTTGGTTCTCCACCTTTTCCTCTTTTCTTCTCTCCAAAAGGTTCACTCAAAGCAAGTGCGATTCTTCATTATTTGTCCACAAAACTTCCTCCTCTGTTACTTACATTTTGACCTATGTGGATGACATTCTCTTAACAGGCAGTAATCCGGCTTATAGTCAAAATTTGTTGGCTCATATGCACCATGCTTTTACCATAAAGGAGTTGGGAAATATTTCCCACTTCCTTGGCATTTCAGTTCAACTAACCTCTCATGGTTTCTTTCTCTATTAGCATAAGTATGCTTTTGACCTCCTTATCAAGGCTGGAATGGTTGATTGCAAGCCCTATGCAATGCCTATTTTTGTCAAACATCTACCTACTGCAGCTGATTCTCTACCATGTACCCAGCTGTTTCTTTATCGCAGTATTGTTGGGGCCCTCAATATCTTACAATCACTAGATCCGAACTATCTTATGTTGTGAATCAAGCTTGTCAATTCATGCACGCCGCCACAGTAGGTCATTTCTCGTCCGTTAAACGTATTCTCCGATATGTGAAAGGCTCGTTGGCCCATGGCCTTCATTTTGTTTCTAGTAATTTTGTGTTGCAAGCCTATAGTGATTCCAATTGGGTTGGCGATCTAGTTGACAGATGGTCTACCTCCGGCTATTGTGTTTATTTTGGCAACAATCTCATTTCTTGGTCTTCCAAAAAGTAATCGACAGTGTCTCGCTTTTCCACTGAAGTAGAATATCGCTCATTAGCTCATACTGCAGCTGAGTTAACTTGGCTTCGGATGTTGCTTGTTGATTTCTCTATCCCTCAAACCTCTCCTCCCATCTTATGGTGTGATAACCTGTCCTCTATATCCTTGGAAACCAATCCCGTGTTTCATAGCTGATCCAAACACATAGAGGTTGACTGTCATTTTGTCCGTGACAAAGTTGCCACCCATACACTCATTCTTAAGTATGTTCCAACTGCCGACCAGTTAGCCGACATTTTCACCAAACCCCTTTCTACTGCTCACTTCTCCTATTTAACTCACAAGCTCATGGTCTCACCATTGCCTATGCACTTGACAGGGAATAATAGAGAAAGAACCCCAGTAGATCACAATCAAGTAGATCAATTATAGTTTAGCTTATGGTGTACTGTGCAAGGAGTGGATTTGGGAGCTAATTTATGAGGTGAGTATGGTTTGAGCCAAGGAAAACAGAGGCAACCAAAAACTTTCAAATGTGTGTCGTCTGATTTGGCTTTAAAAAGAAGTTCAAAAGGAGAGCAATTTGATAGAGAGACAATGGGAAGGCGATTGATGAGGTATATGGCAGTAGCTATGGCATCAAACCAGTAGGTAAGAGGTAAAGAAGAATGTTGAAGAAGAGAGGTAGCTGTTTCAGTGATGTGCAAATGCTTCCTTTTGGCAACTCCATTCTGAGATGGAGTATAAGGACAAGAACATTCATGAAGTATGCCATGGAGATTCATAAAGTTCATCATGGAATTGTTGATAAATTCACTCCACCATCAGTTTGTAAAACTTGTAGAGGAAGACCAAATTGTTTTTCAACAAAGGCTTTAAAAATCATGAATTTGGAAAATACCTCACTTTTATTAAAAAGAGGATAAATCCATGTGAATCTACTAAAATCATCAACAAACAACACATAAAATTTGTAACCAATAGATGATCCATGAAAAGGACCCCAAACATCACTGTGAATCAAAGATAATGGATTATTAACAGTGGAGTTTGAAAGTTTGAATGGAAGCCTATGACATTTGGAAACTAAGCAATCAATACAACTGAAGTCATCTATATTTAGAACTATAGACAAATGAGACTTAAGTGTTTGAAGCTTTGAAAAAGATGGATGCCCTAGTATTTTATGCCATAGTTCAGCAGATGGTGATGAACCAGTAGTAAAAAAAATAGTAGGAGTAAATAAAGGCAAAGCAGGAGGTAAAGACGTAAAATGATATAAACCATTGGCAAAATATCCTTTGTGAAGAATAGCTTTAGAAGCTTTGTCCTGAATGGCAAAGGAAAAGTGGTCAAAAATTGTAGAACAATTGTTGTCTTTGGCTAATTGTTGAACTGAAAGAAGATTAGACAAAATAGTAGGAACATGAAGAGCTTTGTTAAGTTTAAAAGAATGATGTGGAGTTGGCAAAATACCTTTCCCAGTGTTGTAAATGGGGAGAGATTCACCATTGCCAATAATAACTTGCTCAGGACCAAAGTAAGGTTGATAGGAGTTTAAATGATGTAAATCATTTATCACATGTTCATAGGTAGCAGAATCCAGAAACCAAGAAGTGAAGGTCTGAGATGTAATATCATCAGGCATGGAGGCAATATAAGCTTTGGAATGAGTTTGGGGCTGAGATTGAGGAGAAAAGAATGACTAAGATTGAAATTCAAGATCCAGTCGATGCCAACAATCCAAGGCAGAGTGGTTAGGTTTACCACAGATTTGGCAAACAAAACCAGAATATGATCTACCTCTGAAGCTTGAAGATCTGCCAGGACCAGATCCGTATGATCTTTGGTATGAACCTCTTGATTCATGTCGAGAAGAACCTTAATTATTGTGATAAGAAGTAAAACCTTTGGATGACAGAGGTTCCTTCAATGTTGCATATGCAACAATAAGAGTAGACGTTTGCTTCATTTTTCCTTCAATGTGAATTTCTTCTTAACACAATAAGGACGAAAGATCATCCATGGATATGCTTTCTGATCTTGCTCGGATTGTAGTTTTGAATAAATCATATTCTGCAGGTAATCCATTCAAAGTGATAAGGACTATGTCTTCATCTTCAACAAATGAGAAAGCAATGCTAAGTTGATCAACAAGAATTTTAACGTTTCTGAGATATACTTCCATTGAGCCAGAATTTCTCGAGACATAATTTTATTTGTTCTTAAGCTGATTGATATGTGATCTTAAGAGAGTTGTAAATCATTTGTCCATGCAAGCCAAATTGCTGAACTAGTTCTAAGATGAAGAACTATGGTAAAGATAGCAGGTGAGAGAGTGGTCGTGATGCCGCTTATTAAATGTGCATCAATCATCCTCCATTGAAGTTGAAATTCCTAAGTGATTCGTGATTAGATCAAGATTCAAATATTCCAAATCCCAAAAATCCAAAACACACAATCTAAATCAACAAGCACTTACGAAAGTGATTTAGATTGTTTGTTTTTCAGAATAATAAATAAATCGACACCAATGATTTTAACGTGGAAAAAACCACAATTGGACACCTCCAACTGTGATAAAAAACCACGGGCGAAACGCCACTAATCAATCCACTACTGAAGTAAAAAGATTACAAAGAAACCATACAAATTACCCAACTTAGTCAATTTGTCTTCGAATCTTCTGTAAATCTTTCTCCACGACTTCTTCTCGGAACTGATCAATCATGAAGTTGACTCCACAACCTCACTTGTCGAATGAACGACCACGTATAAGATCAAACACCTTTTGAAACTATACGCTTGAATCTTCGGAATCCACCGAAGAGAACTCTCTCTTGAATTTAAAGAAACCAACTCCTTGATGTATGTATTTTAGATCATGAGTGAAGAACTCTTCTCAAGACATCAAGGAAAACTCACCAAAAGTCCAGAAGAACACCCCAAACAAAACCATAGGACTCTTGAATAAGATTTAGAAAAAGTAATCCTAAAAACAACCTAAAAGGATATAAATAGGAATCCTGAATCCGTGATCTCCGCTCGAGCGCCCAACAGCCCGCTCGAGCGGCTTCAACAAAATACGCGTGTGATAACACAGAGATCCGCTCGAGCGCAAAATTACGCACTCCAGTACTTTTACAGACCTGTCAATATACTGAGAGACCACAAACTCCGCTCGAGCGTCAATGTCCCCGCTCGAGCGGGAAGAACAAAAACACAGAAAATAAATAATTTTAACAACTCAAGGTTTTGTATCCGAATTTGACAATTAAGGGACCTAACAGAAGTGCTTCAGGATTGCACACCTCTAAACCAGACAAATTTCGGATATAGTCCACTGGACATAATATGAGCTATCAATAAATTTCAGTAGATCGGTAGCGCGAAGAATGTTCTTCATTTGACTACTCCAGATGATGAAGTTTGCATTATCTCATTTACAGTCACAAGAGAACTTAGATTAGAGATCAACGTATTGAGATTCGAAGGAATCGTAGAGGAAGATGAGGAAATTATCATCGGAGACGTCGCCATTGTAGAGACGCTCGTCGAAGCTTCAGTGCTCTGATACCATGAAGAATTATTGAGATTGAATTATCTTGATTGATTTCATCAGTACACTTACAACAGTATATATATACATATCAGATATGTGTAACAAACTAACCAACTCTAACTAACTCTATTATGGTGTATGATTCCACGTGACACAGTACACCATAAGCTAAACTGCAACTGATCTGCTTGATTGTGATCTACTGGGGTTCCTTCTCTATCATGAAGATCTCTGTGAGCTAATTAAAGTTAGAGTGGCCCTTTGGATGAAAACTCACTCATTTGGGCAAGGGTACACAGTGAATGAGTTTGTGTTTAATATTCATCAAGTTAGAAGTTGCATTTAGTGTATCTGGTAGGTCTATGTACACTAGTTATGCTCTTTTGTTGGTCTTATTTTTGTGGGTTGCTGCTGATTTTGTTTCAAGTTTTGTAGGGGAAGAAGCTGGCTGCAAAGTCTTGGTGATTG